CAGAGCCACTGGTGTCCCAGCACTGTCTTGCCCTCCTTAATCCCTTTCATCCTCTGCATGCTTGGCTGTCCCTGGAAGGGATTCACTGAATGCACACAGCCCAGAGAAACCCTCCCCACCTCTCCTCTCTCAGACTTCAGATCCCTGTAAAACCCCCAGTGCCTTTCAAGCCCCGCTGTTTATCCTCCCCTTTGCCCTGTCAGCTTCACCAGCTCGGGCTCGGGCTCTCCTGGGAACAGCTTCCCATTAACCCTTTGCAAACAAAAGGCATCACAACAAGGCTGGGAGCCAGCTTGTGCCTGGGGGTGTGTGTTCTACTGGAGCGTGTCTCAAATTAGCCAATCCTGCTCCTGCCTTCAGAACCAAACCAGGGAAGTATTTGTTCTGCCAAGCTTTTCAGCTCGGTTTAATTTAGCTCTGTGAACTTGTCTCAGGCTCCCTGGAATGTGTCAGGTGGGGTGTATTATAAATATGCATCATCTGAGCTCATTGTCTTGCTCAAAGGACCAGCAGGCAGAAAGAGTCCAGCAAATGTCTCCTTCCTCCAGGTCATGGTGACAATCCAGGCTGGGGACAGGCTTAGTTTGGGCTGGCACTGGCTGGGGGCTGTAAATGCTGTGAGCAGGGACGGATGGAGCACTGATGCTGCATTAAATCCAGCAAGGCTGGCTGCTACAGGAGCTCCAGAGCTGCCAGCACAAAAGAGAAGGATCCCAATCCCTTCCCATGGCTGTACAACATCAGCTCAGCCCCGTGCTGAGTGCCTTGGCCAGCCAGCCATGAAATAAATGGGGGTTTGGTGGTCGTGGGGAGGTGATAAATGGAAAGGGAACCCTGCTCTGGAACTGGTTATGGGTGCAGGCAGATCTCAGAGCAGAGGGTTTATCAGAGGTGGGGTGTGTTGTGGTGGTGGTTTGCTGGGAAGCAAAGAGGGATCAGGTTGGATTTAGGAGGGGGCAAAGACAGGAGAAAAGTGTTCAGCTCTCTTGGAACAAATTAGCTCCACTCAGAACTGCTGCAAACCAGCCCTGAGACTGGCCCAGCTTCCAGATTCACCTGGGGGATCCAGTTCAGTGCCTCAGCAATGAGATGGGGCTCAGGCTCTCCTTGGGGCAGCTGAATTCAGGGCAGTCAAAATAGAAAAAATGCCACTGTGAGATAGAGTTGTCTCCCCCATAAAGCCTTCCTGCCTGCCCAGACTCCATCCCACAGCTCTGCTCCTCCCCAGTGCTCAGGATGTCACTGTGGATGCACAAAGTGCAGAACGAGCTGTGAGAGCCCAGCTTTACAAAGCCAATCCCAGACAGATCCAGGCCCTTGGTGGGGATGCAGCATATCCCAGTCTCAAGTCCTGATCCCAAGAACAGCCAGGCTGCTTCATGATCCAAATGACCCAGTAAATGTCCCAGTAAATGTCCCAGTAAATGTCCCAGTAAACATCCCAGCCACTCCAGTAGCTCTGAGGAAAGAGACCTCACTTCCCAAAGTGTGACAGACGCCCATGTCCCCATTCCTTTCACAAATTCCTCCACCCCAGGAGCCAGTGAATCATTCCCACTGTGCCACAGCCTTCCCTGGATGCTTTCCAGTGGATCCATCTCTGCCTGGCTGCACCCTGCCTTGGGGAACATCTTTCTCTCTCTCCTGCAAGCTGCTTGTCCCGCTGTGCCTCGGTGATCATTGAGTGCTGCTCCCTGCAGCTGAGCTGTGTCACCACGGGCATGGCTCTGTCCCTTTGTCCCTCTGCTGGGAAACGCTGGCCTGGCTCTTGGCAGGAGTCACCCACAGAGCCACCAGCCCCACTTTGGGCTGCTGGACAAAGGGTTTGTCACAGCCAGTGCCATGAGCTCGGTGCTGTGGCCCAGCCTGAGAAGATAAAGAGCTGGACACTGCACGGTTCAAAATGAATCAAGCAAATGTCACTTTATTGTTGTCTTCTAACCCTAATATACAATTTCTCTCCCCCTGCATGTGATCCCTCAACTTATCATTGGTAGAAGCCTCCTTGCAAGAGGCAAACATCTTTTCTGCTTTTCATTGATTTCAGAGTTCCTTGGCATTCACTTATCACATTCAGCTCTTCTTGTCTTGCCCCTTGTTTTCTTGTTAAGCTGCAGCTGTTCTTCTCCTAATCTCTTTTTCAAGGGTAAAGCCACAGGCCTAGCTCAGGTTCATAAAAGCTTTCATAACCTTTCCCTGGCTTGTTCTCTACATGTCCATTTTTTTTCTAAAAACATTCCCACACGAGCTGGGACCCCACCAGGATCCACAGCCGTGTCTAGTGGGCATCCCTCAGTGCCCTGGGAGCTCCTGGCAGCGTTGGAATGTGATTTAACTGAGCTCTGGGGCTGGTGAATCCCAGTGTCAGCACCTCTCAGAATGCTTGGATTGGTGTGGTTGGTGCAAAGATCTTCCTGTGCTGGCTGTTCCTTTTGGGAAAGGCACACACACACCCCATCAGGTGACTGGGAATGATGTTTTGTGCAGAGATAACCACTTCCCTGCCTTCCTGTGCCTGCCTCCATCTCCACAAGAGCCGTGGGAGAACAAAGTAATGAACAAAACAGCTCTGAAACAGACTGGGGGTGGGACGCCCTTCTTTTCTCCTTAATTGTAATACTGTGAATTAATTCAGCTTCCAGCAGCAACGAGGAGTTTCCCAGCAGCCCTCAGACATCCAGATAAGGCTGAGCTGTTTGTTGAGCCCCTCTGGGTTCTCTGGTACCTGCCTCACTGCCAACTGCTTCACACAAACTTTTTTTTATTTATTTTTTAAAAGAATTTTAAATTGTTCAAGCGTGACACAGAGCACAGGGGTTTGCATTCTTAATTGGCAAAGCCTTTTCCCACTCCCATCTGAGGCCCCTGAGCTGTCCTGCCAATTTATTCTGATCCTGATTCACAAGCCTTGCAAATATCTTCCCAGGGCTGCCCAAAAGCCCTGTCAGTGGAACTGAATCCTCATCTGGCACTTCTGGGCATCCCCCGAGGTGATTTTTTGGTGTTCTTCTCTTTTGAAACGCCCCTTTTTTGCAGCCCCCCTCCCCTCAGAAAAGCCCTGGTGGTACCCTCCAAACTGTACCAGCCACAACTCTTCCCCAGGGGGAAATAAACAGTGGATATAGATGAAAAAATAGGTTTAAAAGGGAAAAAAAAAAAAAAAAAAGTAAGAGGGAAAAGCAAGCATAAAGGAAGGTTTCTCTCTAATTCTCATTTTCTTCTATCCTGGGCACTTTCTTGCTCTCTCAGGACCTTCTTCTCTCATTTATCTTCCTCACCTCCTGGGGTTTCCTCTCCTTGCCAGCAATTAGCACTGTCACCTCTGACATCTCCCTGCCTGCACCCCTGCAAAGCCGTGCCCAGCACTTTGGAGAGGCTCCGATTGGCCTCAGCAAGGAGAGCTGCAGTGTAGGGGCAGGGTTTGCTGGCACAGGGCTGTGTCACGGTCTGGTGCTTGTCCCTACACAGCCCTGGGATGGGCTCTGACACCGGGATGTCTGGGAAGAGGAGGGACTCTCATAAACACCCCAAATATCTGAATTCTCCCTGTGCTCCTTCATTCTGCCACTCCCCTGCTCCCTTGCCCACTGCCCTGTCCTCACCTCTCCCTCTCCTGCAAAATTTTCTAAATTTTCTCAGCCCCTTCCTGCTGTTACCCAGCCTCACCTGAGCTCCTGGAGATCCATTTTATTTATTTATTTCCTTTCCTTCTTTCTCCTTCCACCTTCTTCCCCCCCCAAACACACACCTGATTTACAGCAGCAGCAGGAGGCTGATGTTCTCTGCTCGTTCTCTGCTCGGTCCCTGCCGTCCCCAGAGCCATTAGGGGCCAATCCATCACAGAAATGCCCCAGCCAAAGTGACTGGGACATTCTTTACAGCCACAATCCCGAATGCTGGGCTGGGGGGGGTTTGGATGGCAGAGATGTCAGCTGTGAGAGAGCTGTCTGGAGGCACAGATATTATTTACAAGGTGTTGTGGCTTAGGGAGGAGGGAAGAGGAGGAGAAGTGGCTGCCACCGAGGGTTCTGATGACTCCAGCATCCTGCCACCAGAGACACAGCTCGGAGCTCTTCATTAGGGAGCAGGGAAAGGCAGGGGGAGGGTGGGATGTGACCGATGGATGCTCCAGAGTGTCACAGTTTGGCAGGAGAAAAGCAGGATTTTGTGAGAAAGTGAATGGGGCATCGATGTCACAACAATTCCCAGGGCAAATTCCTCAGTATGGGGCTGGGAGCTCGAGTGCTTTGTGCAATTTGGGATCTGCCAGAGCAGGGGAGGGTTCCCAGGGAGATGTTTGCACACCTCAGTTCACTCCTGCATGACAGCAGCAAATCTGAGAGCTGGGGAAGGCTGGCTGGGAGCAGAGATCTGGGATTTCTCTCCTGGAAATGATCCAGCACAGCCCTTTGTGACTGCACCTGGCACGTGGGGTTGCAGGATAAGCAAATGCTGAATGCATGGAGCTAAAGTGGGAGTTAAAGGCAGGTTTTTCACCCTGAAAAGTCCTGGATTCGTCGTCCTGTGTGGTTTGGGAACGTGTGCAGATGTTTTATAGCCACATACATTTCGTTTTATTACTTTGCACATGGAAAGTGGGCCTAATTGTGAGGCCTTGGGGATGGGTAGTTTAGGGGAGATACTGGTACCCAAAGCCAAAATTGTTGCAGAATGAGATCCATTAGCCCAATCTGGTCTCTAAGAGCAGCCAGGAGCCAGGAAAATACTGTACTATTAAGAAAAGTACAAAAATTGGATGTGACAGACAAGTTCTACAAAGCCCCTTGTTCACCCATCCCTGTCTTGCTCCCCTCCCCTGAATATATTTTCTTCCTCCTCCTCCTCCTCCTTCTTCCTCCATCCCAATTATCTCCTCCTTTCATCACTGCCAGAGTTGTAAGTACAAAGTACCAATTAGCTAGTTTTCAAGTTTAATTAGGTTGGAAGGTAGAGCAAATTAAATCCTTTTATCGCAGGTTTCAAAGCACTTTCCCATCGGGATGGGTTTCCTTTGGATGAGGCCCATGTTTGTCACCAAGGAGCTGGCCCAGGTCACAGAGCAGGGGATGAAATGCAAGATTGCCCCTAAATCCTGCACTCAGGACATCTTTTTTTTTTTTTTTTTTTAATTATTTGGGGTGCACAAACCCTTGTTCCACCTCCATCAATTGAGCATTGCTCCTTAGCTCGTTGTAAGAACATTCCAGCAGCACCAGCAATTCAGGGAGGACTCTGTGACAAAGCCCAGCAGAAAGCTTTCAAAATACTTCAACAGTATCAAGAAGCAGGTCCACATGAATTCTTGGAAGCACCTTTATTCCCTAAACCCTTCTTCCTTTGAGGCCTGAACAAAGGCAGAAAAGCGGATCCAGGAATAAACACCTGGAGATGAAATTGCAGAGCAGAGTGAGGAAGTGTTTAACTCTTGGAGACACAATTGGAGCCACAATTCCTGCTCCTCTGAGTGGTGAATTTCAATAGGATCCATGGAGCTGCTGGACAGGGACACTCGGGAAAGCTTCGGAATTCACCCTCACCTTTTCCTCCTGGTGATACCAGCGCCTCCCCAGCTGCATTTTTGGTGTTCTAACCCCCTCCCCCGTGCTGCCCTGTGTGTTGCAGACAAGCCACTACCTCAGAGTGCCCCGGGAGGGATCATTGGGATCGTGGGAGGTGTCATTGCCGCCGTCTTCATCATCGGCGTGGCCGTCACCGTCATCATCGTCTACAGGAGACAGCAGAAGAGTCGCTCTGACACTGACAACGACCTGTGAGTAGCAAAACCACTGCCCCCCCAGGCTGCAGCTGCTGTGGGCATGGGGGACAGCACCTCTGGCCCTTCCTTCACCTGCACAACACGAAAATTTGGCTGCAGAATATTTTCCTGCTGTTTCTGTCTCATTCCTCTGAGCCGCTTCCCTTCCCTTGGGCTTCCTGGTGCCTCTCTCCTGTTTCTGAGCTCTTAGCACAAGGCTGCAGTCAGGGATGCTCTCACAGGTGCTGGGTTTGCTGTGGCACATCCCTGGGGCAGAGGATCAGTGCCACTGTCCCCCTCCGTGGGTAAAGAGGATCCTGTTCCTCCTTCCTCAATGTTTTCAGGCTCCTGAGTCAGACTGAACCACATCCTGCCATCAGAGAGGAGTTTCTGATAGACCCTGAGCACCTCTGAATGCATCCCAAAGAGTCTGGAAAGGGTTCACATCCACCAGCACTGCAGTTTTGGACCTATGTGTGACATAAATTCTGTCAACAGCAGGGACAGGGGCTCCTCTTGGGCAGGACGTGCTTTGCTCTGCCCAGCACAGGGCAGCAGAGATGGCAGGCAGGGAATTGAGAGGTGTGGAGATCACTTTATGCAGCAGGAACCTCTTCAGGAGCATTTACCCTGGGCTCTGCTGAACAGCTCTATCTTGAACAGCTCTTCACCCCCTCCCTCCCTTCCCACCTCGCAGGGGAGGCACGAAAAGCCCAGCACCCAGAGGTTGCTTTTATGTTCACCCACCCCCAGCTCATTGTTGTTACACCTTGGGCACATTTTGTGCTCCATTTAATCCCATTTGAGAGAGGGCACTGGAGGATAGCAAGGGAGAGGAGAGGAGCGGGGGAAGCAGCAGGAGAGGCAGAAAGGCACACAAACAAAAAAAACCAAAAAAACCCAGCACCACAAGGTGAAATTGCATCAACAGCAGCGGACCTGTGATGGAGATGCATTCTGACAATCCACTTCCCACAATGGCCCTCCACCAGGCTCAGGGAAGAGCCACTTTAGCTGAGAATAGAAACACAGCCGTGCCCAGCTCCGCAGAGGTGCTGCCTCTATTGTGGAGGCTGATCCCGAAGGTAATGGCATTTCTTTTCTGCAGAGCCATGAAGTCAATGTTTTACAGAGCCCCGGGGACCCGTTCTGCCCTCCCTGCCACCAGCACATTCCAGTCCCACGCTGGAATCCAAGGGAAGGCGCCCATCTCCGTCAGATCTGGTGGAGTCTGCACGGAGAGAAGGGAGGGGGGAGCCAGCTAATTAGTGGATCAGAGTTTTAATAAGTTTCGTAAAAGGATTAGACACATCTGTGCATGTGAACAGAATGTGCAGAGACAGTCTCTAGGCTGGGATTATCGTGGCTGCCAGTCCCTATGCTCTGGGGTAAAAGCTGATCCTTGGTGAGGGTCAGGGATAAATGTCCCTGCCTGGCAGAGCACGTCCATGAGGAGGATTCAGATTCCTCCTGGGAAGCCGTGGCAGGGCTCCCATCCCAGAGGAGCTCCAGGCTGGGGCTGGCATGACCCCGTTATCACTTTGTGGTACCTCACAGCCGTGACACAAAGCACATCCCAAGGGATGATTTGCAGCCGTTCCCAAGCAGGTGTCCCTCGGGATCTGCAGTGTGACACGGGGATTTGCCTGGAATAAGGGCAGAATGCTAGGAGGGAGTTTATTTCTATTAACAATTCTAATTGAGGTGAGACAAAGGGCACCGGGGAGTTCCTGAGGATAATCTATGTGATTGTATTGGCAGTCTGGTGACAAACACAATCAAATCCTCGGGCACATCAAAGCAGCAGAACATTTTCTCCTGCTTTCTACTCAGCAGCCTCTTCTTTCCCTGCAGGATTGACCTCCCTCCATCCCACAAACCTGCCCCTCCACCAAAGAGGAAACAGGACATGAAAAGCCACCTGACTCCAGAGGACATCCAGGTAAAAACCTGCAAATTCCTGCCTCTGGCACGGAAAACTGATTCCAAGCAGTGCCCACGGTGCCTGGATTTTGGGAAATGGGGGTTGCAAGAGCAAAAGAGTTCCTGGCATTGAGTTTAAGGGGCAGAAAGTAAGGGTTTTTCAAGGCCAGGTTGGATGGGGCTCTGAGCAATGTGGTCTAGTGGGAGGTTCAAACTAAATTATCTTTAAGGTCCCTTCCAACCCCAACTTTCTATGACTCTGTGACTTGTGCCTCCCAGAATTGCCCGAGTCTGGCACTAATTAATAGCTGTAATTTGGATTCTGCTCTGTCCCTTTGGTGGCTATTGAAGTCTGAAGGAGCTGGGTTTGGTTGTGGTGTCACCTGAAGCAGAGCTTGCCCCAGGGGCTATCCCAGAGGGCAACCCTTGCTCTTCTCATCCCTCTTCTCTCCCCTCTACTCCAGGTTGTTCACTTGGACAACATGAAACACGAGGAGGAGATCCAGAAGTTCCCTCTGCAGACTCCCTACTATGACATGGCAGCCCCCGAGCCCTCTCCCTACAGTGACAAACTGGTAAGGAGCACAGGGTGACAGTGGCACTGCCTGGCACCTCAGCCCAGCCTCCCCTGCCACACAGGACCCAACAGAGCAAGATCCCCACCACCCACAGCCCGGGATTATCCCTCTGATCTCAGCTCACCCTAACTCCAGAGGTCCCAGAGCTGTGCCTTCATGGCTAGAATGCCCTGCCCACCCCAAATTCTCTACCTGCAGTCCCCCTACCCCACCATGGCCACTCCTCACCTCCTGCAAGGAGCCCCTGTTAGAGTTTGCAGCTGAGAGAAGCAGCAGTGAGAGCTTCACAAAGCAATTATCTGCAGGGCAGAGCATGCCAGTGTTTGACTCTCACTTGACAACAACAAGTTCTTTAAACCCTTCTTTTTTTTTTTTTTTTTTTTTTTTTTTTTCTGGTGTGTGGATTTGTTCAGCCTCAGATGGAGAGATGTTAATGTGAGGCAGCAGCAGCAGGGAGAGATTAAGGGTCAGGAGAGATGCTGGCAGTCACATGGGAAAGGCTGGTTTGCAAGGAGTGAGGAAATGTTAGATGTGAAGGTGTAGGGAACAGAAAACAAGTAAGATTAGAGTGAGTTTTCAACGAGAAAACAGAAAACCAGCCTTGGACAGAATCCTTTCCCTCTCTCACCCCATGGCATGGGCATGCTCCTCCTCACGAGGAGCTCAGAGCCCTGCACACCCAGCCCGGTGCTCAGCAGAGTGAACTCCCTGGCTGGAGAAAGGTGGATAAATATCAGCCCAGACTGGAGTAATTTTTTATGAACACCACTAATTATAACCCAGTTCATCCCAGTGTGACCCTGCCATGTGTGTTCCTGTGCAGATAATGGAGGGACAGGGCCCAGTGACCTTTAGCTGGCACAAGTCTGAAGCGAGGCAGACGCCAGGGGCGTTGGAAACCAAAAGCCACAGTTCGGTGCTGAGCTGGATGGATGTGATCCTATTTACTTCATCCCTAAAGGAAAACTTCCCCTTGGAGCCCTCCCTCAGTCCTGGGGCTGGTCCCCAGCTCTTTCTAATCCTTGCTGAGTTTCAAATGAAACACAGGATGTTGGAGCGAGACCACTGCTTGAAAAGCATCTGAAAGCTGCATTTCAGGCAAGCGGGAGGATGGAGGAGCTCATTTTGGGAAATAACGAGCAGTCAGTTAATTAAGTGGCAGAGTTAGTGATGTGAGATGGGGCCTGATGGGTTGCTGCTCCGTAACCATGGGAACAGAGTTTGCTGCTCTCAATCCTGGCCGGAGAAGATGCATTTCCATGTCCCACGCCTGGCACCGGCTGCTCCTCGCCCGTGGATTCCGCCAGGAGCTGACGGACTGCGGAGCTCTCCTTTCACTTGGCCCACGAAGAACTGGCTCTGCAGCAAGGACGTGGTGTCTGGGGGACTCCAGCTGCTGGCACAGCTCTTGGCACGGGCCTGGCACAGCTGTGGATGAGCCCAGTGCCCGGCCAGCCTGCCTGGCAGCCCCGGGAGCCGTGTCAGGCTCACCCAGCACGTACCTGCGCCGTGCTCTGGCTCTCTGCCCCAGCAGCAGGATGCAGCCTGCTCCCATTCCCTGCTAAATCGCTGCATCCTTCGGGCAGGCAGCTGGCTGCTCGAGTTTGGGACTGGCAAGGGAGAGAAGGATGTCCTTGGCTGCCAAGGAGTGCTGATTTTGCTGGATTCTTCCCAGATCACACAGGCAGGCCAGGGGTGGGTTGTGTTGTCCGGCCACGCTTTGCAAAGGAACAAGCTTTGCCTTCCTCCCTGCAGGGAAAAAAGTGGCTTGCATCACTTTTTTTTTCACCCTTAAAGCATTGCAGAAGCGTCCTTTTCATGTCACAGTGGGATTCTGAGGAGTGGGAACCCCCAGGGAAGAGCAGTGGTTACCAAAGCCACCGTGGGATGGAGCAAGACCTGCCCAGTCCTTCACCTGAGGGCTGGGTCAGCTGGAGGATGAGGAGGGAAGCACATCCCTGGTCCCTGCCAAGCTGACTTTGGTGCAGCCCTGCTCCCACCGTGCTCAAAATGCAGATGCAGGCGGCTGCTCCGGGGTATCCGTGGTTTTGGGATCCTTGAGAGGGAAAGGCACAGCAGAAAGGCAGGATATTCTTGTTCTGCCTGTACTTCATCTGCAGATTTGGCTTGGGAGGGGAGTGAAGGAGATGAGAGTGGAAGGGAGCAGATTCTGCAGGAAAATGGGGCGGGTGCATTCAGCTTTAAATGAATTGTGCAAAACCTCGTAATTTGGGATAAACCAGATTTATCACAAGGCAGCATGAAAGCCACTGCCTGGGGTTGGCGATTTCACAGCACTAGAATGGGAGTCAGGGAGTGATTAGACATGGCAAAGAGTGAGGGAGGGGGAAAGGGGAGAGGTGCCAGGAGAAGATAAAAGAGGCAGGTGGAGGAGGAACCTCCAAGAGGGTGTGCAGGGACGTGTGTGTGGACGTGTGCTGGCAGGGGACCAGGACAAGGGGAGAGGCTGGGGCATGTCTGCAGGGTCAGGATACCTGCAGGAGGGAGCAGAACTGGGGATGAATATGTATTTTTAGGTGTTGCAGGCTGTGGGAAAGCCAACACAGAGCCGACAGCCTCGAAATGCCCAAGGACAGCAGTGTGGACACTTGAGGCTGCAGGGGTGGGTGTGAGGGTGTGGGGGCTGCCTGCAGCGTTCCTCTCTGGGCAGTTTTGGGGTAACAGTGAGGATAGAAGGGGATGGAGTGTGTCTCAGGTGTGTGGGTGAAGGCAGGTGTGCTCTGGCAGTGCTTTTGTGTCAGGTGGATGCTCCGTGCGTGTGTGAGAGGCAGCAGGAGGCAGAGAGAGGTGGAGGCAGGAGCGAGTGTAGGAGCAGAGCTGTGATTAGTGTCCGTGTCAGCAGGGCCCATTTGCACAGGTAGAAGGGGAAGTTTCATTGCTGCAGACAGCAAAATAATTTCTCTGGGTTTGCAGGGCAATTACCGGGGTGCTGGTGGTGATGATTTACACCGAGCGCTTGCGTGAGGCAGTGCTGGGCCTTGTATACAAGGCACATTATTGATATTGTAATAAATTCTGCTCCAAACAGGCAGCAAGGAGCAGGAGCGAGCCCAGGAGTGGGAGAAAGCAAAGGAAATCCATGGAGAAAACACCTCCTGTGGGAAGGAAGCAGGAGAGTAGTGAGGTGAAGGAGACAGGGTAGGAACGAGGAGGTAAAACTTAGTCTGGCTTCCTCCAGGAGTAGGGGAGGAACAGAGACACAAAATTCAGGGGGAAAGAGCTCTGCAAGGCCTAGATTTAGGTCTGAGGCTGGAGTTGGCATCGCTAATTTTCCTAAATGTCCAAACTCTGAGTCCAGACATAAAACAGAGGCTCCATAGGATGCGCAGCTTTCATGCCAACAACTCGCCACTGCCATCTGGCCACCAAGGGCAGGACAGAGGTGACCTCCAGCCCTCTGCTCCTCCAGCCCCCAGCTTTGCTGAGCACTGGAAATGCTTCTGCAGCCTCGTTGCCCATCATTCCCCTCATCCCTGTGGCTGAGGGGCAGGATCAGGGAGCCAAGCCCTGGCACAGGCCAGCGCAGCAGGCAGAGATAATCACTGAGTGAACAGCCCCTTCCAGCAACAGGCACTCAACCAGCTCAGTACAGGGCTATAAACTTCTGAAAACGGCTCAGCTACAGCTGGTAGGTGGCTGAGGACACTTCCAAACAGAGAGAAGAGGAACAATTTCAAATTAAACACCTTTTGCATGATTGCCATGCAGAACAGCCATTTTGGAAAGGGGAGAGAGAGAGACTGGGAAGCTGTTTTGTTTGGAAGAAACAACTCTCTCCTCTCAGAGAGGTTCAGCTGCCTGGCTAATGCTGGCACTGAAACCAGCCCCAAAAGTGAGGATTGAAGAAACTCCACGGGGCAAGAAGCCAGGATCCCACTCACAGGGTGCTTGGCTGGCACCAAGGCTGCTCCTGGTGATCCATGCTCCCTGCTGAGCCACAAGCTCTCTGTGCCATCCTGCCTTCCAGGCTTCTCCCATTGTTATCTGCATGAAAGATGTCTGGGTAGGAATGATCAGACAAATTGGATGATATTCCATTCATGCAGTCCTTGCTGATAAGCCAGCTTAGTCAAGGAATACCCATAAATATTTCCATGCCAAAGGAGGGTGCTTTTAGCATCTCTTAGACCGTGTTACAATGACAAAAGTTAATCTGCAGTGCCAAGCTGTGCAGCCAAGCCTTGAGTTAAACGAGGCCCTTCAGAACTCCACAGTCCCCACTGGGGCAGAACAGTGGTGGCCAAGCACTGTCATTCCCCTGTGGCCATGCCTTTGGAGTTTTGGCTTTAAAGCCATTCCCTCCGGGTATGTCCTTCCCAAAATGCAAATTCCAAACCAATGATTTTTCACTCATGTTCCCCAAAGCTGAGTTTGCAATGAATCCCAAATTCTTGGGTTAAAACAGACAGCTCAGGTGCACGATAAGGTTTGGATTCACGGATCCAGCCCCGGCTGAGGAAAATGCTGATCCCAGAGGGGTTCAGTGGAAGATCAGAGCAGTGAGATGCTGCTGGGAGCAGCCCAGTGAAAGGGACAGTGGCTGGGAGTGCTGGGTCACTCAGCTCTGCATTTGGGGGAGCACTGCCTTTGGGACTATTGCTTTGATTTGGGATTTTACCTGACTGATTATTCATCACCTCCCTACCTCCCTCTTTTTAACTGTTTTTTCTTCCTCCTCCCCTCCCTCCTCACCCTTTTCTTCTTTCTCCCCCTTCACTCCCTCCATGTCCTGTCTCACCCTTCACCATCTGCACGGACCCTCTGTCCTCACTCCCCAACTCCTCCCTCGTGTCCCCCCCACCGCCTTGCTGCTCTCTTCTCTCCAGAACCCTGGCAACAAGGACTGTGATGTCCAGTATGCAGAGCTGGACACGTCGGCTCTGGCCGCGTCACCCAGCCCTCGGACCTCCATCCCTGCAGGCGGAGACCTAGTCGAGTATGCAACCATCCAGCCCAACTTACGCTAGCGCATGTCA